ATCTGGTTTGATTAATGAATGCATCTGTTCACTGTTAAGGTTTTTTAGAAATTTACAAATAAGTTTGGATTTTCCCTTTTTTATTTGTCTTTAGTGGTTATAAAAAATAAAAAAAAATGTCCACATCATTTCTGGAGACTTAACAAAAATAAAAAATGCAATTAAAGTTTTTTAAAGCTCTTTTGAAAAAATAACTTTTAATAAAAAAGTAGTTTTTTAAGATATCGAATTTAATAATCTAAAACACAAAAATAAAATATTATTTTTAATTTCATTCAAATATTATCCAGGCAAATGCTTGGATAATATTTGAATATTAGGTTTGTTTTTAAAACAAAACAAATAAAAAAAAAAACTTATAAAACACTAATCAATGATCTTACAACTATTATAAGAGAATTATACTCTTTTTTAATTTTTTTATAGAATTTTCTTTATAGAATTTTATAAACCAACCTCCTCTTTTCTGCAAAGGAGATAAAAAAAACTAATTAAAATCAAGAATTTTACTACATAAAAATGATCATTGATTTCCATATTAAAAATGATATTTATCATCTCATTTTGTTATCTGTATCTTAATTATTTTTGTTTGAACAATGTGAAAATTGTTTTAACTTTGTCTGGATTCTATCCAGAAAAAAAAAAAGAGAATTTCAGAGACTATGATAGTAGATTCAGTAAGAAGGTTTCCATTCTCAGTATAGAAATTTGGACAAATGCGATAATTGTTTGCGGTAAATAATTAAGTTTTGTTAGAGCTGAAATTCACAAGCCACTTCAAGCCCCAATCTGTCACAGATGTGAGATTAGATTCAAGATTGGCTGCTTGTTCTAAGCGATTGATAATAATAAAAATGTTTATAGAAAATAAAGTGTTTATAGGAGATATTGTGCTTAAAGACGATCATTACTTAAAATAATACTACAAAAACATAGGACTGTTAACAAAGAACATAAAAATATTAAAAACATAACTTATATTAAAATTCAACACTATTATACATATTATTTTCATTTTAATTTTACAAAATAAAACTATATATTTGACTAAATTGTTTCAAGCCTGATATGATAAAATAATAAAGTCAACAATCTTACCTACTTTAAAGATATTTATAATTTAGCAGTTCACTTAATAGCAGTTTGCTATCTCTTAACCATATTTTATTTTCCAAAAAAAATTAAACTAATATTTTCTTTGTTTTGATTGCATGCATAAATGCAGCACACACAGGACTCAGCTTACAGGGAACATTGGCTCCAATATTTTGCAAAAATATATACATGCATATGTAACAATATTTTGAGGATTGCTGACAATGTTATTTATTATCATTAAGCAAGAAAGCAAGAAATAAAAACCAACAATTTGTAACTATACAAAATAGAAAATATTTGAATTGCAGCTTAACACAAAAAAAGGTTCAAAAGAAAATAACTTAAAAAAAAAACAAACACAGATTGCTGGATTGCTGCAGATAATAAATATGACATAAAAAAAAAATCTGTAGGACTTATAACAAAAATTTTGGCCACATAATTTAAAAAAGCACAATCCATATTCAAGCCTCAAGCATGTGTGGTCGCATGTCTTGTTCACCCACGCTTAAAGTAATTTTTTTTAGTGAACTTGACCACATTTTTATATAATAAGCGTTTTAAGAATTTGCTGCAAAATAAAGCTATAAGAAACTAGAGAGAATAAAACAACAATACTCCAAGAAATGCAACAAAGACTATACAAAATAGAATATCTAAATAGAATAAGTTAAAAAAAATTGAACATTAAAAAAAATAATAATATACCTAAATATTTTACTGTTTTGTTTTTCTTATTTTTAGGGCATTGAAGTTATTTTCCACTACCAAAATTGATACAAATTGAAGTAAAAAGCAGATAAGAATATAATGAAAAATAGCAATTTATTTTCTTATTTTCCTATTATGTAAGTATTGAGAAAAGACATCAAATATAGCAAAAGCATTTTTAAAAGCAAAAAGATGTCAAAATAAATAAACGTAAGAAAAAATTAACAAAATTTCTTCAAAATTAATTTTTTAATCAACTTGTATCAAATTATTTAAAGTTTTGAAATATCAAGTTTTAAGTGTCAAGGCTTGCATATTTGAAATGAGTTTGCTATGATCGAATAAAAATCAAACATGCATTGAAAAACATGCAGTTAAACCACTGCGGTATCTTAAAATTTTAAAATCGGACTATAAAAATTAAACTTTTTTATTTATTCATTACATAAAATTTGTACATAAAGACTTACTTGTTTTGGACATTGCATACTTCGCAAATAATGAGTACAGTACTTAGTGGTACCTAAAGATGCTCTGCAAAAAAAAAAAAAAAAAAGGTTTATATTATTCTTAAAATTAACTAATATAAACTTATAATATATATTAACTAACATAGATTTTAATTTTATGGATAAAATCTATATTTTTATAACTTTACCTTATTTTTAAAGGTGGTTGCATATTATTGATAGAAAGTATTGCCTTAAGTGCATCCTACAAACAAATATTGCACAAATTTGATTTTTTTTTTTTAAAAAACGATTTTAAAATCAAAATAAAAACCTTGTGACCACTACTTACAATGAATGTTAAATGTAAAACTTACTTCAACTTTAGTATAAGTAATATATGCACTTGCACTTGGACCCTAGGAAATATACAACATAAGTTTAACAAAATAATAATAATAAACACTCTAATAATATAAACAACAAAACCAACACCAACAACAACAACAAATTTAAATTAAAGTGTTTATTTTAAAATGTAAGGAATATACAAATAACCCTTACAGAGACAGTTATCCTTGTATATGCCAATATTTGAGACAAATTTTTTTTTTTTTTTTTTTTTTTTTTTTTACTTAATTTATTTCAACTAGTATATGTACTAGGTAAAATAACTTAAACAAAAAAAAAAAAGCAAATACTATTTCTGATAAAGAAGCAGATAACTTATCTGTTTTAATAATGATTTTAAGGTTTAACGTGAAGAAAAAATTGTTTAAAGAAAGTACTTGAGGCCCTGCATAATTTGTGTTGGGATTTATAACAATTTTCACTATTTTTCCATATTTTCCAAAATATTCGTGTTGCTTTAAAACCTATAAAAGAATAATGAAATAACAATAAAAAATTATATGTTATTTTTACAATAAATAATTCATAGAAAAAACTAACCTCTATATCCGCCATTTTTTTTGACAATCCAACAACAAAAACAAGGTGCTTTTGAATAACGCTAAATTAAAACAAAAAAGTTTTACTAATAAACTTATTAAAAATCTTATTTCAAAAATAAAAAAATCAACACAATTACTTAAATCTCAAAAAAAAAAAAAAAAAAAAAAAAAAAAAAAAAAAAAAAAAAAAAAAAAAAGAACAAGAAAAATCATCAATACCGAATGTCAGAAAGATGCTGTCTTGTATCTGTGATTTTTTGCTTTCTCTGTGTTTCTATCTGCTTTCTTTCTTTCTTAGCTTTTTGAATTCTAAAAATTTTTTTATGCTTTATGCGTGCTTGGTAAAAATATGTATGCTTTATGCATGATTAATAAAAATTTGTATGCTTTATGCATATTTGGGAAAAGAAACATTTACAAATAACAAATATACAAATGATTGATAAACCACTGCATTTTAAAACAAAACAAAAAACAATTAAATTGATCATATTTTTCAAACAAAAAAATCATTAACTACAACTTAATTGTGCACAAGTCAGTGTCAGTGATGATGCTATTGATGGAGCCATACTTAAATAGTAGTAAGCAAAATAAATAAATTTTAATTCAAAAAAATTATAGATTACATAAATCCCTTTCAGTCTTTTGTGCCACCACGTATGTATGTATGTATGTATGTATGTATGTATGTATGTATGTATGTATGTATGTATGTATGTATGTATGTATGTATTTATGTATGTATGCATGTATGTATGTATGTATGTATGTATGTATGTATGTATGTATGTATGTATGTATGTATGTATGTATGTATGTATGTATGTATGTATGTATGTATGTATGTATGTATGCATTCTCCAGTTAAGCAATAAACATATATTCAAATGTTTCCTTCAAAAATTTAGAACTTTGATTAATCAGTCAATAAGAATTTCAATCTTTTAACGTTTAATATAGTAATGGTTTTATTAGCAGCAACGCATTTTCCAACTAAAACAGGTCTCATTACACTTAAATTACATTTTTGAATTTTTTCTATAAAAAGGCTTTTAATCTTAGTCGAAAAGGCCTCTTTTTGACTAAGATTAGAAGAACTAACCTAAATATGACAACAATATTCTAGACAAAGACAAGGAGGTTAATAAAGGTAGAAGATGGAATCAGGAGATAATGATAAGCACAATAAACTTTAGCAGATGCAAACTTTGCAATGGATTGTATATAAAGTTTTCATAATCAAGTCAGTACTAAAAGATAATTTGTGAAGAAGTAAGGTGGAAGACTCAGTGAATCGCCCTTCAATAATACAGGAATATCAACATTGCAATAATTATTAGCAGGCTGTTGATGGGTACACAAGCATTAACCTGTTGGTTACTGTCCGGGTAAAATTATCAAACAACGGGTAACCAATGTTTGACAGGTTTAAAATTCATTTCATTCATATTTCAAGTTTAAAATCATTAATCGTAATAATACAACTTAACAATATTAACTTGATATGTAAAAGAAAATCTTGAGAATCTTGTTTTTTTCTTGGACAAAACTCTTTCAAAATCTGGTATATAATTATACTATTTTAACAGGCAAGTACATTTATTTATTTATTTTAATACAATTTTTTATTTAACATAATATAATTTATTTTTATTTAACATAATTTATTAATTAAGAACTTGCGTAACTGGGAAACTTAAAGTAAAAAAAAATTATAATATATAAAAAAATTACAATTCTAAATAAATGACATACGGTTTGAATTTCTTTGAATGAAAGATTTTGATTGACTGTTTATAAGAACAACTTTTTTGAAAAATATTGTTTTTTTATAGGATACCTTGGTACCTGACGAGTACTTGGACATACATTTTCATGATTTTTGACAGCCCTAATTAGCAGTTAACTAATGAGTTTTATTTGGATTAAAATTCACAAGCTACTTTAAGCCACAAGCTGTTACAGAAATCAGATCCAAATCAAAATTAGCTGACTGTTCTAAGCAATTAAAAAAAGATAACTTTTTTGAGACTGATAAAATTTCAATTTAAATAACTTTAAAACTGCCCTGTTCAAACTTACTATTACAACCCTACTAAAAACTCTGTTACAATCTTCTTACTAAAAACTCTATTGCAATCCTATTACTATCATGCTATTAAGTATGATTATCAGTTATGAAAACATACAAAATAATGTAAAATAGTGTTTATGTAGTAATACACATATATTAGTTTTGCATTGATGATTCAAGAAGTAATACGTTAACTCACTCATCTTGAGATAATGGACGATACATAGCTGGATCTTCAGTGTATGTCTATAAAAAATGTTTTGAATTTTTTAAATATATTTGCAAAACTTGACAAAAAAAAATCAAATAAGACATAAATAAATTAATTGATTAAATTAATACAAAAAAATTGAAGGAAAATTAACAAACATAAATTTCTAACTTATTTCATATATAACATACTTTACGACAAGCAGGACACAAGCCATTTCCATCTGTTTTTATTCTATGCCAACAAAATCTACAAATCTAATAAACAAGAGAAAAAATAAACAAAAACAATAAAATAATTTTCATTTTAAATTAAAGTTAAAGAATTTATTTTTTATTTTTTAATTTGAATTTACATAAAAATGTAACTAATTTGTTTAACAGTTTATAAAACAAAAATGTACTATTGATCTATTTGAATAGCTGAAACAAAGACTAGGTATGCATGGTTTAGGTATGTTCAACTTTTTTCATTTGCAACATTTAACTCAACTTTTAAATAAAAAAAACAACATATATATATATATATATATATATATATATATATATATATATATATATATATATATATATATATATATATATATATATATAAAACCTTCATAGTATTTAAATAATTTTTTTTTGTTTGCATTTTTTTTTTTTTTAATTTTATTAATTTAATTTTAAACTTATGAATTATGACATACAAACTCAATCAAACTAATTTTCAAAGTATTTTTCAGGATTAAGAATCTTTTTCGCATGCTAACATATCTTTATGAGACTTTTACTACATTTATAGCATATAAACACATTTAAAAGTTTTAATTGCTTTACAATTTTTTTATAAACTTTTTTATTTTCAGTATTCAAAAGTTCCTTTTTAAAAACTCTGGTGAAGCTTTTACTAAACTTTGTTGCTTTTAATTCTTTTGTCCCAAACTTTTTTTTGTAATTGTCTAAAACAATTTATTTAAAATTTTTGAGAAAGATTATACTCTTCAAACAACTTTAAAATCATGCAGCTGATAAGATTCAATATTACTTGTAAAAATAATAAATTTTAAATAAATAATAAATGTAAAAATAATAAATTATCAATTTAAAAACATTTATATCTAGAGCCTATATATATGAAATATAAAAAAAAACATAAAGTGTAATAGGTTTTTAAAAAACAATCAAAACAAACAAACATTAAAACCTGAAAATACCTGATAACCACAAGTGCAAGGATAAAAATGGAGATCGTCAATCTCAAGCAGTTCCATACACAATGGACACTAAATTAAAGTCATAAATGCAAAACTATTTATTTTTAGTTTATATTAGAGTGAAAAATGCTACAAACATTTTAATGTTTTATTTTTTATTTGATTCAAATCTTTAAAAATGTATTGTCTCTATTCCAAAAATGTTTCTTAAGTGAATTCAACAAAAGCAGAATATGTTTAGGTATTCCATAAACATCTATATTATTTTAATACTTATTTTATTAGATTTTTTTTCATTAACATTAGCTAGAGTAAAAATGGTACAAACTTTTTAATGTTTTATTTAGGTATCCCACAAATATCTACATTATTTTAACATATTTATTTTATTAGATTTTATTAGATTTTTTTTTTTTTTTTTTTTCATTAACATGAACTATTTATTATAAATCATTTTTTACTAGACGCACTTCACATGTATTAAAATATGATATACTTATATGGTTATTAACCCTTAAATAAATAACCACTACTAAAGCCTAAGTAGTTAATTTTCAATACAAAGTCTAACATTTCTTAAGTTTTATTTTAATTTAATAAATTTATATATTAGATTAACAACAACAAAATTATATATTGTACACAGTTCATAACATTCACCATGAGCATTTATTATTATCATAGTATTATCAACATAGTATTATCAACATTTAAATATAATTTAAACATTATAAACATTAAAATATTATTCAATAATTTATTATAAAGTCATTTATAATTAAAACTAAGAATTGCTAACAAACACCTAATATATCTGGTAAGCTTAAAGGTTTCTTGTATTTCAATTATCTTTCAAAATGAGATTAGACAAATTAGGGGGTTTGAAGAACACATAGCTAAAATAAAAAAATGCTAAACATTTTTCTGTTTATTTTGCATTTAGGTGTTCATGATTTTGCATGGTGTTTACAACCAAAAATTCTCTTTAAATAAAGGTGTTTCTACTCCTAATAAAACAAGTGGCACAAGTAAGTAATAAACCAAGTGGCACAAGTAAGTAATAAACCAAGTGGCACAAGTAAGTAATAAACCAAGTAGCACAAGTAAGTAATAAATCAAGTAACACAAGTAATTATTAAACCAAGTGGCATATTTTTAAATCTTTTTAAAAATATTTAAAATATTTTTTTTATCAACCAGGCGATTCCACAATGTGGGTTTTTATTAATTTTTTTTTATCAATTTTTATTTATTGGAAATTAGGAGTAGGTCCGATTCTAGGAGAAAAATAAAAGGGCGACTCCTTTAAAAAATGCTTTTTTAAGGATTTCAAAAAAGTTCCTTAAAAGTAAAAACCTGCCGACTGAAATGTGTCAAATGTCGACTAGCTGGTTATAATCCTTAACCCCCCCTTTCCATCATACACACCACCTTAAAATCATTCCTAATTGGGAGAAAACTTTGCTTTCTTTTTTGTTTTAGTAAAATAAACTTTTAAAACAAATAAAAATTTAAAACAGTTAAAAAAATCATTTGAAACATTTATAAATAACAAAGTTAAAGTAATTATGTTAATATTGGCCTCAAACATAACAAAGAAATCATTCATACAGTATACATGCTCTTCTTGAGCATCTTTTGTTAATAATCCCCCCCCTATCTTTTTCACTAGAGCAACTCTTCCAAGATTAAACATCAAGATTAAACATCAAGTCAAGACAGTAAAGGACAAGATCAACAACAAAAAAAATAATAATAATAATCATGTTTATATTGGCCTGAAAGGCCAATATTAACATGATTAATAATGTTAATATTGGCCTGAAAGGCCAATATTAACATAATTAATCTTTTCTTTTCCGCAGTTTTTTATTATATTTTTTATTTCTCCACTTCTTTATTCTTTTAAAAGCTCCAGTATAAGTTAAGACATGTTATTCCATAACATTGTCTTGGTTAAGACATGTTATTCCATAAAATATTGCTTGGATTTTAATGCACTACTTGTATATATAGTATACATGTATAGGTGAGAAAAATGAACTACACACTGTATGAATGATTTTAATACATTAAATACTGTTGTTTTTGCATCTAATAATATTTTTCAACAAATTTTGTATTTGGATCAAATGGCATATTTGCAATCGACAACTTTTTTCGAAATTTTATTTGTTAACCATTAAATGAATTTTTTTTTTTTGCTTAAAGAAAACAATAGTTTAGTATTTAAAGACTTTTTAGAAAATCAAACATTTAGTTAAAATTAAATTAAACATTTACAATATATAAATTATTAAATTTAGTTTAAAGTACAAATACTTTTTAAATTTAAAACTATCTTTATCAATAAATGGATTTAATTTGAAAAGACTCATGCTCATATATTTTTGAGTAAATAATAGTAAAATTTTTTTTGGCATATTGTAAAAACCACATTTATTAACACTAAATTTTGATAGTTCTTACATTAAAGATAGCAAAGTAATTAATGATGTATTCAAAATATATAAAAAAAATTACTGAACAAATAATATACAGAAAATATAACAGAATATAATTAATAATTAGTAAACCACCTTTATATCATATATGTGCCCTCGCAGTAGAAAAGGGACCAGATAGGGGAATGAGTTATTCATACCACAGAAACAAGCTAATTAAACTGAACAAAATGACACCAAGATCTTTAAAATAGCTCAAAACTGCATCCAAAGTTATGATTTTTTATATTATAAAGTTTAAAAACGGCAATTGTCGGGAAAATCAATTTAAAGTTTTAATAAAAAATGTTATTTGCAATATTTTTGGAAAATATTGAAAGTTATACAGAATATGACCAAAATAATCAATTCAGTTAATAGTCTGATAATCCATCTATCAAACTCAAATGAAAACAAAAAACTTAAAAACCACAGGTCACTGTGTTTAAACGTAATTTTCTAAGAAACTAGATCCTGCCATGTGGTCCCTTTTCTACCACGAGGTCACATATATGTTTCATGAAAAACTAGATTCATAAAATGATAATTAAATAAATTGAATTTTATATGAAGCCATCTATCAAACCCTGATAGATGGCTTCATATAAAATGATATAAAGTGATAGGCAAAACAATAGACTGCTTAAAAATTAAAACGAAAAATAAAAGGGTAATTTAAAACTTACGTCAGGTGAATCTGGCTCCGACATTTTTTAAATTATCTAAATTCAATTTATAAATCAATTTTATATGCTGAATGTAAAATAAACAAAACAATGATAAACAATAATATCTATAAGTAATAAATTTCAAAAAAGCAAAACTTTTATATTAAATAATTTTTTAAATTTTAGCTTTAATTTGACAATTTAAAGGGAAAGGCTATGCAAGAAATAACTATGTAAAAGTTTGTATAATATATACCAGTGCAAGGCCCGAATAAAGTGATCACAAATTGAGATATCTGGATTTCTGATCATCAAATGCAAAAACAAAACAAATTTACTATTACAAAACAATAAACTTACTATTGCAAAAATAATAACTGTCAGTTTATAAGAAAATATTGAACAAGATTTAAAAATAAAAGTATTTTATATATTATTTTGCAATTTCTTTTATTTAAAATATTTGATCATCACTTAATTCATTTGGACTGTTGAGATTTGCCTTTGTTTTTAATATTACATCGTACTGTATGCTTTTTTTTTCTTGTTTTATCTGATGATTTATAAAATTAAAATATTAAAGATTAAATCATAATTTTTATTAATAAAAAAATAATAATAATAAAAATAATAGTTAATAGTATGGTTTTATAATTTAAATCAATATATATATTTTTTATTGAAAAATAACTATCGAGTTTACCATTTTTCAAAAGCTAAAAATTTAAGGAACAGAAGCATTTCCAGGTATAGCAATTCGTTATCACTTAATTCGAGCCCTGCTGTGGTATGGAGCAACTGAAAGTCATTAAAAAAAGAAATAAAACAATACTATAACCTGAAAAATTTTGGTTGCAATTATTTTAAAAAACTTCAAAAAATGTAATAAAAAAAACCCTGCTGTATTGAAGTTATACACACATGATTCAAAATGGGACTAGAACATTTTTATTTTAACAATAACAAGCAAAAAGTTAACAATTAATAATGATGCTGACATTAGATTGTAACTATTTGAGTGTCTCCTGAATTAATTTTGTAAACTTATTTTATTGTAAGTTTTAATTTTTTGGAAAGCGAGTTGGAAAGTTGACTATTCGTGTTAGAGATTGAGAGAAGCAAAAGGGTCTTAACACCTTCAGAGTCGCTGCAGCATTGAAAATAATGAAATAAAGGCAAACGGTCAATTTGACCGGCCAACTTAAGGAATTGATGGTCAATTGTTTTTTTTGGACGGTCAAAATTTTTTTTTGTTTAAGTCTTAGTAATAGTTTTTTGTTTTAGTAAGTTTTGTTTAAGTTTTTGTTTAGTAATAGTTTTTTGTTTAAGTCTTAGTAATAGTTTTTCTTGACTAAACTTTATAAATACAAAAATAAGTGAATGCTTGAAGGGTAATGAAAAAAATAATTTTAATAATAACAATTTTAAATAAAATCAATGTTTTTTCAAAAGCGCAAATAGGTAATTGATAATTTTTAAATTTTTTAAAAATAATTTCATCGCAATGACTTCGCAAATGGTGGGGAAAGTTGATCGAAAAATAATAGAAAAGATAAAATGAAAAAAAAAAAGAACCGTTGAGGATTTAAAGGATTATGTTCTTAATTACATACAATAATTTCAAATAATAATGAAAAAAATCTCTAAAGTTGAAGAAGAAAAACTTTCGCACATGAAGAGATTTTAAATAAATATATTGATTTTTTAATAATCCTGTTTTTAAAAAAAATGCGCAAGCGCTCAATTAGTAATTTTTAATTTTTCTATAAACCATTTATTCATTTATTTGCAATTTCCAGCAAAACTTATGAGAAAATAAATAAAAAAGATAAGAGAAATAAAACAAATTGACTAAAATATAAGTGCAGATAAAAGAAAAACTGTTCATAGTTAAATACAGAATTTATTATATATTATTATTTTATTAATAAAATAATAAATAAAATTTTTATATTAAAATAGTAATAAAATAAGAACTTCAGTCATTTAAGAAAAAAGATTTTCGCTATTGGTAAAATAAAATTAACTAAAATAAGTGAAGCAAAAAACTTAATGATTATAGTTTACAGCGTTACAGCGTTATAGAAACCAGTAGTTTTTCTGCTTTAACAACTCTGAAATCATTAATTCGCTTTGTTAATGAATGTATTGCATATAACATACGTAACGTATACGTAATATACGTAACGTATACGTAATGCATATAACATACGTAACGTATACGTTACGTATGTTATATGCAATACATTCATTAACAAAGCGAATTAATGATTTCAGAGTTGTTAAAGCAGAAAAACTACTGGTTTCTATTAATATGTAATAATTATTAGATTAAAGTTTTGTCAACCATGAATTTAATATATACTCAAATATATAATTAGGAGGAGAATTAATAATATAAAAATATTAATAAATTAATAATTTTTAATTAATGAATTATATTGATATAAATTAATAATTTTTCAATTTTTAATTATATTGCTTTATATATTTATATACTGAATTATATTGATAAAATATAAATTTATTGAAAAGTTTTTTAAACAAAGAAAAAAACCAGGCATTGAAAAATAAAAAGATTAAAGAATTTTGCTTTAACTTATTTTCGCTTTAACAACCTGCAATTAAAGTAGCGTAACATAAACAAGAAAACTATTTTAAACCTTTTTCAAAATTTAAATATATTTATATAACTTTAGTATATGCATTTTCCAAATAACATCCTAATTATTTGTCAAACCTTGCTTTTAAATCTCTGGGTTTTTTTTTCAACTGGTCAAGAGTTCATTTTGGGAGGTCAAGTTAGCATTTTTAGTCATTTCAGGCGGTTATTGATCGTTGACTGGCAGTTATTTTCCACGCTGGAGTCGCTGACACCGAGCCATTCAGCATGATGAACATCAAAATCACCAACAACAGCGATATTGGCTAAAGGATAAAGAGATAGGGCTTGGTCATTTTGATCAGAAATAACATCAAAAAGAGTGAAAAGATAAAAGAGAGTGATATAGAAAAAAAAAAAAAAAAAAAAAACAATCGAGTGAAGTGAAATCATCTTGAGATAAAGAGATAAAGTGAAGTGAAATCATCTTGAGATGAAAGAGAGTGATACAGAACAAAGAAAAAAGCAATAGAGTGAAGTGGTGTTAAATGAAAACACATAAAAGAATTGTCTGTGGATTCAAACCTAGTTTCCCAACAAAAGGGTGAATTCTTACAAATGTAAATGCTCAGGCCAAGCATGTGACTATTGGAATATTAACTAACCATCGACATCAAGATCACAAGATGAGACAGCTGACTCAAATTAGTCTCGCAAAGAGTAAGTAGGTCTGGTGAGCTTTGCAAAAGATAAGACTCAACAGAAGGAATGTCACTTCGAAGAACAAGGATATTAGTAAATGATATATTTAGAGAACTTGGTGATAAATTCTGTTGACCAGCCTCAAACCTTTTCTTCATCTATTAGGCAGACATAGATGTAAACCTGTATTACATTGTTTCTTTACTCAACTCATAGTTTTTTGCTTGTACCTTCTTGATAGTGGCTATTCAACTCTTTCTGTTATCTTCTAATAAGGCTACAGCTCTACAACTTCGTTTAATGGTTCTGAGACCGGCTGGTAGTAAGGGTTCCCAAACTCTATGGTAGCTCTCAGAGAGGTTGATTGCATCAAAAGCTAGAAAATAAATATATTATAGTATTAACAGTGCCATGTTGCGCATGGATGGTGTTCTTTTTTTTGGTGCACATCAATCATCATGTCAAGACCACATAAAAGGCCCTAAGTTATGACTTTGGGTTAAATAACAGGACTGAAACAAAACGCATAGCTCATTGCTTAGGAGGTCGTGCACTATCTATGAATGAGTCATGTTTGTTCTCTTTAAACTTAAACCATGATAAAAGTAACTCAAAATATTAAACATAAAAAAACCATTCTCACAACCTAACTGTTTTAATATATCTTACAATACAAGTATTTGTGGTCTGCAACGCAACCTTCCATCAGTTGAACCTTACCTTTTACAAAATTCACCAGACTTGCTTGTTCTTAATGAGACTAGCTGGAATTCCGCTAACCCTTCTTCAGATCTCAGTGTTGATGGGTACTATCTTTTGAATCGCAAAGACTCCAATAGCCACATGCTTGGCTTAGGGGTATATATACGCATCAATTCACCTATTTGTTGTGAAATCAGGTTTGAATCCTTTGACCATTCTTTTAAGTGCTTCCACCTAGCACCTCTTCACCTCTCTCTTTGTTCTTTATTGTTCTCCTTTTTCCCAAGAATACACTCTTTTGGATGTAGTTTTTTATCAAATTGACCATGCGATTTCTCTTTATCCCTCTGCCAATATTGTTGCTATTGTTGGAGACTTAAATGCTTATCCCGCTGAATGGCTTGGCTTTAACGCCACTGACCATGCTGGCACTAGCCAGTAAACCTGCAACTTCTACATTTCTCACAAAGCCTGTAACTTCTACATTTCTTAATCTCCTATCCAGATAGAACATAATGATTCTTCCTGAAAACCCTAATCATTTACCTTCACTCCTAGATTTGTGTCTTGCCTCTGACCCTAGCTTGTATCCAGTTTCTCCTTTTTTCCCTAGTAGTTATGACTCTAAGGTGGATATACTTTCTTTTCTCAGCCAAGAATATATTTTATACCGCATTTTTGCGATATTGGGAATACTTATTATTATTATTCTACAAAATATTTGGAATTTTTATTAAAATTATCCTAATACTTAAAAAAAAAAATGCCATTGAATTTTGGGAGTTTTAAAAACATTGAGAATTCTTTGGTATAATTGTAATTAATTCTGTAGTGCTATTGGGCTGGTTAACACCCTGAAATATATATATTATATATATATATATATATATATATATATATATATATATATATATATATATATATATATATATATATATATATATATATATATATATATATATATATATATATATTTAAGTAAATATATATATATATATATATATATATATATATATATATATATATATATATATATATATATTTAAGT